GGTATAAATCTAAATTAAATTACTAGAGTCACTATGGAATGTTATTTAAGAGAAAAGTTCGACGCCAGGGTAAAGCCAGCTTTGCATTAGCTTCTAGTATTTCGAATCGAAGAGATTCTTTAAGGTCGCTTTCGGGCAACATTAATCAACCTTAAGAATGGCGTCGGGACGCTTTACATTTTGCAGAGTATATAGTGTACAGACTGGTTCAGATTGTGGAGGAGAGTTGAGAGAGAGAGAGAGAGGGGGTATCAACGAAAAGTATCCGGATTGTAAGTGAAGGTAGCAGCGAAACGGTCTACGTCGGAACAATGAGAACTGCTTTTACCTTCCTCTTCTATACCCTGCTCAATCTATTCTCTCTCTCTCTCGCTCTCTCCTCCACTCTACCTTTTCCATTTTCTGGCATACCCTCCTCAAACGTAGACGAATTGATAATCGTCTTTACCAGTTGCCGAAATTCAATGCTGACTGCATTCTTAGCTCAGACGATTATTCCGCTGTCAGCAAGAAATTAACAGGAGCGTTGGATTAGACTTAGCAAGAAAATCAATAGGGAATAATTTACGTAATGGATCTGCAAATGATCGCACAGTGTCAGTCGTATCAGACAAGATGATTTCAGTCCCGAAATTAATAGATCTGCCTAGTGCAGGTCACAAGGAGAATCGATCGTGATAAAGGTATATATAAATTTGAATTTCCCGCCACGCGGAAGAACGAGCGAGCGTCCTTCCGGATCGCGGAAAAAGGGAGGACAGCAAATTTGAACGTGAACAAGCAGACGAATGCGACTGCACGTACTTAGAGATTGCGAAGGAATACCGAGACGAAGTGAAAGAGAAAGACAGATAAATATAACGAAAGAGCACGAGACGCTCGGAGAACGCCGGGAGCACAGATATAACCTCGTTATGGATTCCGGCTGTGTGCGGGACAGGACGTCCTCATTGCTCGAAGTGGCCTGCAAGATAGGAAATAACATCGGCGTGCAGCCTGACGCGTCAGGATAACCAATCCTTACCACAAATTCAGATTTTCTTCGGATTTCAAATGTCCACGGTACTTAAATTCCGAGCTCATGTACGAGATTTCAGGCATTCTAACGGCAGAGTACAGTCAGCTACAATATTTTTCGATCGATCATTTACAAGCAAGATTACACATCTTGTTTTAACCACGGATCAGGCCTAATATTTTTTCGAATTATATTCGTAATCGGCACATTCTTCGAGTCACGGCCAAAGATAACCCCACTCTTATCGCACAAAACCAAAGATCAAATAATTCGTCAACTCCATTCGTGGTCTGGATAGAGAATTACATTTTCGTAGAACCGCTGTCGCTCTTGGGAATCGTAGAACGCAGTCCACTTGTAAATGCGTACTTTGCCGCACAACCAGAAGAAGCTTTTTCAAGTTGGCAACACAACTTTCCTCCGCAGTCCGGTGAGAGTTTCCTTCTTACGCGGCTTTGGAACTCTTACCTATTTCTCTCTCTTTCGGTTCCTTTTTTTTTTATATATATATCTCTCACTCACTCCGTCTCTGGTTTGTTCCCACCGATCAGAAGCGAAGCCGTCGCTCGGCCACCCGGGATTATGGAAGGAGCAAGTTGCGTCGATGAAAAATTCACGTCGACAATAACTCGCCCGTTGCATTTTTCATAAAGACAAAACTTTCTTATCCACTCCTTATATCCGGTGTCGTTTCACTCATGGTCGCTACTATCTTATTTGGCTCGCTCACTCGCTCTCTCGCTAAGGCACTCTGTCTATCCCTCTCTCTCTCTGTCTCTTTATACGTGTGTACACGTATACGGACAGTGAGTCCCAAGAGAGCGATACGGACCCGTGTCCGCTTATTGCACTAGTCATTCTTGGCAACCCTCAAACATTATGCCAGTTCTTCGGTTCAGTAGAATCATTAACAGCATCCTGGACCACCAATCATCTCGATCAGAGCAAGAGACCGAAGTAGCGTTAAATTCAGATTTGAGGTTATACACACTAAATCGAACCTGGAATGACTTTTCGTTCAAAATTCATTGTACATCTATACGGTACCTTTCGACTTGAAAAATTCTAAGACGTGACAAAATATCTGACTGACGTATTCGATACCTTAAAATTTCCAAAAGTCACTTTTTTTTTGGTTATAATTAATAAATTTCCCAAATCCCATCAGGCACGAGGAAGTACTTTTTTTTGCAGGTTCGAAAGCATCCACGAGTTCGACGAAGGGAAACTATTGAAATGGCTTTTGGCCGAAGCGCGAAATCGCTAAATGCCGTTGCGCGAGGCGTCGACGCCACGCGTCGTTTTTGCGAGTTGAGTTTCACATTCCGTCGGGCTGAACGTCGATTTCATTTAAAATCACAGTGTTTCCCGTAATCGCCTCGGGCGGACGAAAACAATGTTTTCCTAGGCGACCCAGTTTTAAGTTATCAGGATACGATTCCATTGAATAGCGAAGCTTCGCGATTGGACGGAAGGGTCCGATGACGTCGCGACGACCGGCGTCGATATATCCTACTGACCAATGACGGTACAAACTGACAGTGTCTATCTCACTCGATCATTGATTTCATTAGTACTATTATAAAGCCTTCTATAACTGTATCGTTATCGGCTGTGATCTCTTATCTTTCAATTATCTCAACTGTCATATATATAGTTATACAATTTTTTAATTATTTTCACATGAATTATCTAGTAACAGCCTCGTGCATTTTCTTTGGCTGTGTAAATATACCTTTGCAATATACTCCTATGTATATATATATATATAAGTTGACTATTATTTTGACAAAGGAAGTACTCGCATTTACATAAAGGACACGAAATTGCTCTTTGGCTGCTTTTGTAATTATGCAATGAAAAATTACGAATACACCTGATAACACTATACGCCCTTTGCTGATAAGGCTACTACCACCACTATCTCTTTGGCAGTCAGTGGTTTTTACTAGTTATGCCTTCCCCTTCGCTGTTCCATGTACGTACACTTCTGGTGTCGCTGCTGCGATGCCTCGGTACTACGTACATAGTATATGTATGATATGATATATGTATAGATATCAGTTTTTACATAGTATAAGTATATAAGAAGATGGCTCAGAAGCGCGATTAACTCCTGGAAACTAGATCGAGCCGCTTTTTCTGATTAAATATGCATGATTTGAGGTGAATATAAAATACCGAGGTGCCTTGGCCGCGGCGGCATCTGCGCCCGAGGATTTCCGAGGGTGAAAATGAGGGGCGGAACGAGAGGAACGAGAGGAACGAGAGGAGAAACGTGAGGAACGAGATCTCGGCGGAGAACGGTTGCTTATGGAGTCCGCGCGCCTAAGATACTCCTCGTTCTTCATCTTTCTCCTTCTTTATTTCTACTTACCCGCCGCCCCTTACTCTTATCTCATCTTTCGCTACCATCTTTTTTCAAGTCACCGTATCCTCGCACCTTTCGCTTATACCACTGTATACGTATTTCGAAGTATTCGGAACTCGAATTATCCACGTGTCCTCTCCCGATTGGTCGATATAAACCGGTCGGATCGTTACCCGACCAATCAGGTTCTCGTATTCAGGTTTCGAGATTACTCGGTTTCCTGTCGAAGATTTTCCATTTGCGTGACCGTGACTCTTGGGCAAATATACAGGGTGACCATTTTGTACCCCGGGTCAAAGTTTTCAGGCTCGATTCGAGCTTTATCGATTATAAGTGGAATTGATCGGGCGGAACGAGACCGGAAGTAGCTGCAACTAATTTTACCCTCTTCGATTACATAACACCCGAGGGACTGTGATACAGGACGATGCGACGGGTGAAAATTTTTTGCTCCGATTGTACCAGCCTTTTGGTCATCAGGTGAGGCAGACACCTGCTCGTTGGAATAGGGTCTCGGCTACGTAAGACCCTAAAGTTCCCCATAATTCCGGCAATCCCCCCGGGTCCCATTTTCAGCCGATGCGTTCGGCGGGCCTCATAGAAAACTCTCTGGACCACTCATCACCGGCATTAACGATCGTAACGGGTCTTAACTTCCCGGCGGTCCAGACTGAATTACGTGCGGCGTGCGAGGATTCGTCAGCATCGAAAGAAAAAAAAAAGGATGACTCTTGACTTGGACCGTCATTCGGTTAATCTCATCAAATTTTGCGTCCCGTCCAGGTATCTCGGTTCGTAGATAATTATTTTTTTTTTAATTTTCAAAATTATCGTACTGTCATTTATAACTGCTGAAATGTCACAAACTCAAAGGCCCATGCTTGATTTACGGATATTTCCGGTAATTCGTCCGCTTCATTCGGTTCAGCCATCTAATAACGGTGCTCTAATTGCATTAATTCTCGAAGCGTCAGCCAGGTAGGGCCCGGGGGTGGTGAAGGGCGCACACACTGGATCTCGATACTTCGATCCTCAGTCACCACGGGCGGACAATATTTTCAGTCGCGCATTTGAATATCGGCCTGTGGTACAGAGGCGGATGCTGCCACAGCGCATCACCGCGAGATTACTCTATTATACTCATAGACAATGGAAACCGCTTATGTACCCATAAATGGCTCCCGTCTCTTCGCCC